CATTCCCGGCAAAATTTCAATTTTTAAGAAAAATCTAATTTTTGTATAATGTTATAAAGATTTATAAATATAATACGGAATTGCTAGTTTAACTGAATTTAGATATTCCTAAGAATGAAAAAAATGTAAAATAAGACTGAAATTTGATTTTTTTTGTGTTCCACACAAAAAATAAATGCGGATCAATTTTTCATGTTTGAATTTGCGACAGGTCTGCGAAGAAATATAGTAGGCACCGAAAGCAGCCTATCCAACACTGCTAGGCTGCTAGGCCTAGCCTTATCTCGATTTAGGTTCTGTTTTCACACATTAAAAAACGGCCAGCATGATATTTTCCGTTGCTAGTATTGACACATAATACTGTATTTCATAGGAATTATTTCAAATTTGTTAAAAAACTGATTCTGACCGAGATTTTGACACTTAAAACAATCATATCTCAGGCCTACTTGAACGACCGCATTGTGCGAGATGCGAAGTACAAACACTAATCCCATTAGAGAGGGCGTACTTTATTGACTGTAAAGTATACAAAAAAGCGAGAGTATATTCCAGCGGATGCGATCTACAACCTCTGAAATTCCTTGTAACGAAGAATTCGTGAGAAAATGTAATATTCTATGAGAAATTGTCTGTATTTCTCTTTTTTTTTATTCTTTTGCATAAAACTAAAATTTATACCAATATTTTTTCATGATTTATAATAATTAGAGTAATGCATATGATCTTCTCTAAAAAAAATATGTTTTTAATGAAATTTTGCCAGGAATAGGGCTTAAGTTTTTTTGTTCAATAAAAGTAAATCCTTGTGGGCTGGAGCTTATCCCCAGTTTAAAGTACTGTAGTGTGGAGCAAGGGTGCAGCCACAGGGGATCAAAAGGGTCCTGAAACACCCCTGTCTCTCCCCCCCCCCAATTTTTTTAAATATCCTGATTACAATACAATAGAAATCTTTCTTTATTTTGGAATGCTCATTTAAATATAATAAGATGTACTGGTCTCGAAATTTAAGAGGTCCAGATTTAGTAAAAAATATAATTTAACCAAATTACAAAAAGAACGAGAAAATGAAAGAAATGATAAAATAGGTAAAAACAATTAAAATACAATGCACAAATGAAATTTAAAAATCAACTTTATAATAATTTGGGAATGTTTACGAACATCTGGAAGGTCATTCCAGAGCATTGATGCTCGGTATCGGTAAGTTCTCTTCCCTTGAGTGTTTTTCCATGTTAAAATTATTAATGTATTTGTGGATTGGCTTCTTGTATTTTTTGGGTGGAGTGTGTCCATGAATTGGAATTGATTAGTTAAATATAATGGTGCAAACCCCTGTAGACATTTAAATACCATAATTTTAATATTGTTTTCCAATTTAACATGGATATTAGTTCAGTAATAGGGGTGTACATATTATCTTAATGAAGAATTCTAGCTACAGTACTGTATTGGATAATACTACAGTATAACAGAACAACAATTTAACCAAACATTACTGCAATAAACAAAACAAGGAAGTACATTGCATTACTGCATTATTAGATTTTATTAAACATAGTTTTTTTAATTATCGGTATCTGAAATGTGGAAAAACAAAATTAAACCCATACCATTCCTCGAAAATTACACTCTCTTCACTAAGAATAGACTAACTACATTTGGAGGTGTCTGTTTATTTGTTAAAAGTGAGTAAAATGTCAAACTTCATCCTGATCTTACTATTAACGATGATAACTGTGAATCTCTCTTTATTAAAATAATAAAGCCATCTAAAAGAAACACCATTAAACTACAGTATACTAACTATAGACCCATATCAATCCTACCCATTTTTTTCAAAAATCCTTCAAAAGTTTATTTTTAAAATCCTTTAAAAGTTTATTTGCCCTTGGACTTCCTTACCAAACATAACATTTTAAATAAATATCAACATAGTTTCAGACCAAATCATTCTATTTGTCACGCTATATTTGAACTAATAGAAAATATAACCGATTCTTTTCAAAGCAAGCCATTCCTATTTACAAGCCTGGTTTTATCTAGATATACCTGTACATCCACTTAACTATTTAAAAATTTGATGTGAACCAGTCAATTATAACTAGATAAATGCTCAAGTCACTTAAAGTTAAGTGACTTAACCTTCTGGATACCAGATTCTTTTGTAGTGCAAACCCTTGAATACCGGATTCTTTTGCAGTGTAACTAGGTTTTTTTTGCGTTTTTTGAGTGTTACCTGCACAGAAAAGTAGGCCCCTATTAAATTTCAACATCCAAGGACCTGTGGAAAGTCACATGACCTGGTTGAGGTTGGGCCTCTGGCATTGAGCTCATCATCATTAAAGTGCTTGATACAGAGTAACCAACATCTAACTGAGGTCTATGTGAATTCTTTCACAGGTAAGTACCCTAATATGTTTTCTTTTATAACTTTTTAGTATTTAAATCATTTACATTATATTTTAGATAGATGCTGAGATAAGTGTGTATCTCAAAGAATTAAACTAGAGATAATTAAAGATGAAAACGTTATAGTTACAGTTCACTGTTAAACCATGGTTGAATACTGTACTAGATAGACTATTATGGAAATTATGATAGATGATTGCTTATTATGATGCATCTAAGCTTTAGATTAAAGTTAACATGACTGTTATATTTTCACTATGCTATGAATAAGTAATTAAAACTTGTCATTATTGTGATGAACAAACTGTAGGTTCAATAGAATACAGTAGGCCCAATAGAACCCTATACAGTGCACTGCATTTAGGTTAGTGACCTTCCCACTGATTGGTAAGGTATGCAGGGCTGTGCCACTGAAACCACTGTTGCTATGGCAACAAAGGTTATAGAGCAAGTTAGGTAGATTATAGAGAGTAATTTATAAACTTGTTTTCCCTAATGTGTATAACAAGAATAGCAACTTTAGTAACAGGGTAGAGTATTGTATATTCAATACTGTACTTTATTTTAGGCTTTAAACAATTCTATATAAATATATATATAAAGTGGTATTTTCCTCATGATGATTTAATGTTTAATGTCATTTTAGTTAATTTAGTAAAAGTAATGTTGGGTAAAGGATCAGATATATTGATTTATTAGTTAATTTGTTTTATGTTTTAACACTTGTCATTATGATTTTAAATGTGTTAAGATGATCATTAAAGTGCTTGATACAGAGTAACCAACATCTAACTGAGGTCTATGTGAATTCTTTCACAGTCGGAATATCCTGGAAACACCCGTAAAATGAGTATGCGTCGTTCTGGTGGATTTTTGGGAACTTTCTGTAAATTATACAGAAAAATGTTTCTAAAAACAAAGAAAGCTTATAGAATAAGCTTTCATTTGATGTATAATTTATATTTTTAGGATTTTTTTTCATAATTATAATATAATATATATATATAATATAATATTCAAAATTTCTGACGTATTGGAGCTAAAATAAAAACAGAAGAGCGATTTGAAAACCACCTATTTTTTAGTCACTAAATTTCGACTGTACAGTCGAAAATGGGAATTCTCGGTTTGAGGTCAGTCGAAGACGGTATCTAGAGGGTTAACTTCACTAGAATAACAGTAAATTAACTTGCTTAACGGTAAAGTCGGCTCAAATAACAATTACGTAATATAGCATCTTAACCATCGTTGTTGTGTTGTACCACCATTATCATCCTCTGGATCAACTTACTTACAACTTTGCGTTTTTTGAGTATGCGTCGTCCTGGTGGATTTTTGGGAACTTTCTGTAAACTATACAGAAAAATGTTTCTAAAAACAAAGAAAGCTTATAGAATAAGCTTTCATTTGATGTATAATTTATATTTTTAGGATTTTTTTTCATAATATAATATAATATAATATAATATATATATATAATATAATAGAAATGACAGAAAAATGCTACATATAAATCGTTAGCAAAAACCAAAAAAAAAAAAAAAATTAT